AGGTAAGAAAATAGGAACTTTAATCAGCTATGACCTTATCTGATTACTACATATATGAAAGGAGCCCACCACCATGTGCCACGCACTGTGGAGGGAGATATGGATATGATGATCAGCAGATAGACCCAGTTCTTATGCTGTAATTGCTCAGAATTGCTGGGAGACCACCAGGAGTGCGAACACACGTGACTATATGATTATAAATTTTGAAAATATATGTGGTAAAAGTGAAGAGTGTGAGGGGACAAGCATAACAAGGAGATCTGTTTTAGATGCAGGGGAGAGGAAATTTTTTTCTGTCGAGTCCCATATAGCTGACATGAACTATGAGAAAGAAATAATCAGGTGAAAGGCGAGGAAGAGAAGTATTTCAAGGGAGAGGAATATATATGAGCGATGACTCTGAGTTAGGAAGGCACTTAGTTTTTATCCAGAACTGAAAGAAAAACACTGTTAGAGTAGCACGGTGAAGAAGAATGGTAAGCAACAGTACCCAAGAAGTAGGCAGACCTGATGGTGTGGCATTTTATAAGTCATGGTGGGCAAATGGCTCTTGCAAACCACGACCTGGTCAATGAATGTGAAGTCAGGCATAATGTTGTCCTCAACAGCACAAACAATTTCCCTTAATTCAAGGAGTCTTAAACAGGTTTAGTTTTGAGAATTGAAGTTTAAAAATAGGATTGGTTATGTTATTTTAAGACAGTCTTCTAAATGGGTATCCTCTCTATCCTCTTTCAGCCACACATGTATTTGCAGAGCTGAGCTTGTATAAGGCAGCAGCGCATGCGTATTGAGCACATACTGAAATAGGAATTTTTAGGGGTGAAATGGGCAGGTTCAGGGAATTTTTAAAATGAAGGGGGTCCATGAAAAAAGCACAGGGCTACAGAGCTGCAAAAGGGTACATTTCCACAAGACAATGGAGTTGGGAGAGGCAGCAGTTACATTTCCATAAGGTAAGGGAACTGGGAGTAGCAAAATGTCTATATTTACAAAATAAAGTAGGAGGGCCTCATGTGTCCCATGTGAGGTTTGACTTTTGAGCTCAGGAGTTGCTACACTGATGAAATCAAAGGGGAGTGGTAGCCAATCAGAGGGAATATCGAGACACACAAAAAAATAACTGCAGCCTTTATAAACGGGGGAAAAGGGAGCTCGGTGGGACTCTTTCACCCTCCCCACGTGAGAGTCTGTGCTGTGAGATTCTTTCCCTTTATCCACATGGGAGTTTATACCTGTTCTTCAATAAATGTCACCTTTGCTATATCATCTTTCATCCTTGGTTTTATTCTTCACCTCCATTGGACAAGAGCCCAGGAGACCATCTTGCCCAGGGAAACACCTTAAGACCAGTCCAAAAATTCTATATCAATACAATATCAGACACATGAGTCACACTGTCTCATTTAATCCTTATGGGGTGGATATTATTATCCTTATTTTATAGACAAGGGTATTGAGCCTCAGGGAAGTTAGTGATTTTCCAAAGATGAATGAATGAATGAAAGATGCAGGATTCAAATTTAGGTCTCTTAATTTTGTAAACTTTCTACTGCAGTGTGACAATTCCACGAAGGGCACAATGAAAAAAGTACACTTGGCACTGGACCTCCTGAAATGGGAATAAAAGGTCCTGGTAGATGCCAGTAGCCTCCATTCACTGCATTTGTTCAGTCTTTCCTTATTAATAAATTCATGAATTTTTAAGCAAATATGTATTTGTTAACAAGCATTAATTAAAGACTTAGTAAGACACCTGATACCACCGATGAGAGGAAAAGGTGAAGGAAAGGGAAGAGGAAAGGGATATAAAGATAAAATATTCAGGATCTACCTTCAAGGAATTTAGGAAATCTAAGTCTCATACATAAATAACTATAAAACAGTGAGAATGTGTTGGGTCCCAGGAGAAATACATTACCTGTATACCAGGAGTTAATATTAATTCCTGGTATACAGGTATGATGTTGATGGGCAGATATGTAAAGGAAGCATATTCCAAAACAGAAAATTATAAATTGGAGGGACATTTGCCATAAAGCCATTTTAGAACCTCTCTTGTAGATTAACCAAGTGAAGGAGCATAGAGCACTTCATTCTTAAAAGGGAATCATGGTTGCCGAAACCAGTTTGGCTCAGTGGATAGAGAGTCGGAATGCAGACTGAAAGGTCCCAGGTTCGATTCCAGTCAACGGCATGTACGTTGGTTGTGGCACATCCCGCATGTACACAACCAATGTACATTGGTTGAGGGATGTGCAGGAGGTGGCTGGTAGATGTTTCTCTCTCATTGACGTTTCTAGCTCTCTATCCCTCCTCCTTCCTCTCTGTGGAAAAATCAATAAAATATATTTTAAAAAAAGGGGGGGGGGACCCATGGTCAAACAAACCATAGATGGCTGAAATATATTCTTCATAGTCAAAATAACATTTTAATATTTTTCTAGGTAATAGAAGCTTTTATTTTCTCCATATTTTTTTTTAAGAATTTGAGTTGTACAACTGCTACAGCCTGCTACTGGGAATTAGACAGAGAGGAAGGAGAGAAGGGAGCTCCTGATTCTGATTTGCTATTCATCAGTATGTGGTACTACATATTGGGTTAAGAGGATGAGAAATGTGATGAGAAAGACCATGGACTCTGACACTCATGATTTAAATATGATTAATTCTTGAGACCTCAAGGTAATTCCTTCTTTACCCCCTTTTCACTCATGGCAAATAGTCTAATAAAGAGGCACTGAAGTGAGGGCAACTTTCCAAAACATTTTGTTTTGTTTGTTTTAAATACATAACAGGTTGGATCTACACAGTGCCTTTCAAATAGCTCAGCTTGATAGGATGTGGTAAGGGAAGCGGAAGGGGAAGTGGAGATAAAGCCAAATAATGGAAGCTTAGGATATCAGATTATGGGATTTAGATTTTCTGTACACAGAAAAGCTTGGATCTTGACATTTTGTTTTGTTTGTTTGTTTGTTTGTTTGTGTGTGTGTGTGTGTGTGTGTGTGTGTGTGTGTGTGTTCTAGTTAGAGGAAATAAGTTGAAACAGGATAGTATTTTTTCCAATTTTAGAAATGAATGTTATACATAGAAATGTTATAGGGCCCTAGCTGGTTTGGCTCAGCAGATACTCGGCCTGTGGACTGAAGGGTCACAGGTTCGGTTCCAGTCAATGGCACATGCTAGAGTTGCTGTCTTGATCCCCATTAGAAGGCATGCAGAAGGCAGCTGATCAATGATTCTCTCTCATCATTGATATTTCTATCTCTCTTTCCTTCTCCCTTCCTCTCTGAAATCAATGGAAAAAAAACATTTAAAAAGAAAATGAAAATAAAAGAAAATGTTATAGGTAATTGTTTTATTTTTAACCTCTTTCAAGAGCTGTTATGTTTTCAATATATGGTTTTACTAAATTATTATTGTAACATATTGTCAGAGAGTTAATCCCAAAATCAGTCTCAAGAGGGTCAACAAAATTGCAGTCTAGCTAACATTAGAGGTATCCAAACAAGCATTTACATATTGCAACTGTCCCTCTGACTAGAATTTATTTCCTTTCCTTATCTCACAAAGGAAATAGTCTCTCCTGATGTTTCCTTTGATATGGAAGGTCAAAAATTAATTGTTTCTTTCCTTCTTAAGAGCATGTTCAAACTGGGCTTTTGATATCTCTCTGCATCCCAACCATCTTCCAAGTCAGATTTTAATAAGGTGACCAATAACCTTTTGTTTCAAAATTGGATTTTGCAAGAAATCAAAGGAGGAAGAGTGTCTATATTAAATATTGACTATTTTTAAAGAGCTCTCTTTCTCATATCCCTCCTCTCTTCCTCTCCCTATAAAATGAAAGATATTAGTGAAAAAGATGAAAGCCTTCAAAAGAGTCCATTCTAAATGTTCTTTTCCATTTAGATTTGTTCACTTTTCTCTCCTGGAATATAATAGTACAGTTTTAGTAGCATTACATCTCAGATATTTCTACTTGTTGAGTAATTAACATTTCTATTTTTCAGGTCATTTTGAACCAGTATATGTGTGTACTTCAAGTGTTTTAATAAAATTACATTTACTTACAATTTTGACTTTGAGATGGTCTATAGGAGTCCAATCTAAAATAAAAATTCAATTTGGTGGCTATCTACAAACTAGGAAGAGAGCCCTCATCAAACCTCAACCATACTGGAACGCTGATCTTGGATTTCCAATATACAAAACTGGGAGGGAGTGAATTTCTGCTGTTCATGTCACCCAACCCATGAGATTGTGTTATGACAGACCAAGCTGACTAACACACTGACTGTCCTCATTTTTTGGAATAGGATGCAAACTGAGAGGTCAAAATTGGCATTTGAACCTGTGAATGACTTTAAAGCCTACTCTTTGTATAGCCCTCTGAATTTTGAGCCAGAAAATACTAGTAATGAATATAGTCTTTTAAAAAGATACAAAACCCTTCCTCTGTTGTTGTGTGTATTTTTAGCAGATACAGATAAAGCCAATTGATTTTGCTCATTTCTATTCATTATCATTGGATTTTTGTGTTCTAGCAGGATGTTATTATTTGAGCTCTCAGAATTCCAGGTTAATGTTGAAAAATGTAGTTAATGCCACTGAAATTGCAATGCTAAAAAAAAACCAAGAAGATTTACTCATTCTGTATTTGCTTTTTGTAGAACATATTAAATACAAAATATCCCACTTTGTGCCTGAAATTAATTGGCAGTGCCTCATTAAACCATATTAAAATTAACGTCTATTAATTGGATTAGAAATTCAGTGAGAATGACAGCTGCTAGTGCCTTTTACAGTTACTCTGTTTTTCTATAATCCATATGGCAGAAATCACATAATGTTTTTTTTCCCCCTTTGAAATAAACACTTGAGATGAAAAGATTTGACTCACTGTGGTCAGGGGATGTGCATTTATTTTCTTTCTTTCTTTCCTTTTTTTTTTTTTTTTTTGTAAAAACTGAACTATCTTCCCCCCTTTTTCACAGGTTTTCACCAGCCATATTTGTGTATCTGATTAACATCGTTCCATCACTGTGGATTCTTGAAGTGCAACATGGGAACCAGGTACATCCTTTTGGAAAGTAGAAAAGTGAAACATTCAGCAATAAACTGCTTTCATATTCTAATCTGATTTGTGTCAGAGATGTATTTTTCTAAGGAATTGGATTTATTAAGAACTGAATAAAAAGAGGTAATCAACAAATAGAAGCAAATTCATAATCTGTCAAAACCAATAAAAATAGTAAATAGTTTTACAGATAAAGTATAGGAATGATATAATATTATTTTATTACCTTCACTAAGATTAGATAATTTAAGATTAGATAATTAATTAACAATTTGTATTAGGATTTGTTCCTAAGACATCGCCTCCTCCAATATGCTAGAGTTTTACATGATGGTGTAAAAATTTGTTTTTAACCTTTGCAGGGTCAATGAGCTCCTAGATGGGACTAAGAATGTGCAGGGCTCCATAATCTGGCATCCTACAAAATGACATTTTTAGGAACCACAAAAACAAAAACAAACCCCATCATCTGTACCATGCTATATAAATGCAATCAAATTTGGAGGGCCTATTTGAGATTATCTTAAATACAGACGATTACAGGAGATTCACTTTTGAGAGCCCTAAGAACTGCTTTAATGAAATAGGAAATCTGCTCTAGAGACCCAAAATAACCTTAAAGAAGACTCATGAGACCCGCCATGAGGAAATGTGGACTATAGTATTAGAGCCATGTTGACCTAAAAAATAAACAATGGCTTTCAGTCAGAGACCCTAGTGTATACACACACAGAGGTTCTAATTTTTAAGTGAGTTGCTTCTTACTTGGGAAAGCTTATGCAGCAGGATCTAGGCTGGATTCAGCTATTTCTTCTTATTAATGCACCTGTACAACACCACACAGGTCGTTAGTAATATCCATCAGACACCAGACTAGACTTCACATCTTCAGGGTTGGGGTTACAAGACTATGTCTTTGTTTTTTTGTGTTTTTTTATTTATTTAATATATTTTATTGATTTTGTACAGAGAGGAAGGGAGAGAGATAGAGAGTTGGAAACATCGATGAGAGAGAGTCATCGATCAGCTGCCTCTTGCACACCCCCTACTGGGGATATGCTCACAACCAAGGTACATGCCCTTGACCGGAATCGAACCCGGGACCTTTCAGTCCCCAATCCGACGCTCTATCCATTGAGCCAAACCAGTTTTGGCTACAAGACTATGTTTTACAGATAAACTATAGCTATGATATAATTTTATTACCTTCACTAATAAAATATGTTAGGTAAGATCTGAGAATTTCCCCCTCCGTAGATTTATTTGTTGGCATTCATCATTTTATAGCAAAGGTAGGTCTCCTATATATGTTTTAGATATTGGGACATAGAAAGAAAATACTTACTCCAAATTTTAGGCACACAGAAGGGAAGTTAGCTCTGTGAACTCCTTTTGAAAAATTCCACAAGCATGTACCAATAATACAGGCATTAAGGAAAACATCTATCTGCCTTAAATCTCCTGCTTAAAAAAATATTACTGTGATAGGATATTTCTATCCCTGTAGAAAAAATATTTCTGTAACAGTAAATTGGTTGGTTCAAGTTATCATGACTTTTAAAAACTGTACCATAGGGAGTTAGGGGACTGTTTGAATTTTCTTACTGCTTACTATTTTCAGGGGTATGGAAATAAGTTCATGATTTGAATCATTTTTCCCCTTCATATCCAATTCTATGACATGGCTATCATCCACAATAACAATTTATTTCCCCAAATGCTTTTATAATATAAGTGTATGGCACAGTTAATTGATATACAGGTCAGATCCCATTACAACAAATAGCCTGCAACGAAAAGCTCTCTTTTTAATAAAAAAAAAGATTTTTTTTTGAGCCATGGGCAGTACCTCTCTAATTTTCATACTACAAAAGAAATTGGGCCTTTAGTAGTAATGCAATTGACTCTTATTGACATGAGGAATTAAAGTGAATGCCCAGAGATTGGATTGGGCTAAATGGGTAGAGATGGAAATACCTGGTAGAAAAAAAATTGAGGGGAAAAAAAAGAGACAAAAAGATATTGGAATTGCATTTAAAGAGATAAGAAATGGCAGAATAAAGGAATTCTCTTTGTCCATTCATTTAAGAAATGTTGGTTTTAATAATAATCACTTTTCCTATTTATGTCAAAGTATTTTCAGGTATGTTTTCTCATTTATAAATACAGCAACTACATGAGTTCAGCATGGTATATGCACTTCTGTTTTATAGAAGAGGACTTCAAGACTCAAAAAGATTAAGTACTTTTCTCAAGGCCATGCAGCTAATCAACAGCTTTCTAGGGCTTAGAACCTATGGCTTGATCCCGACTCGGTTAACCACACTGCCTTTCTCAGTTATGTGTTCCATGTTTTAGAGGACTTACCATCAAAATCATCTAAATTCTTCTTGATGGGAAAGAGTAATTTAATTTCCTTTCACTTTTTCCATTTACTTTGAATCCTAAATGTTCTAACCTATGACTTGGCATTAGGAAAACATTCTGACCTACTTCAGGCAGACATTCCTCTTGGACAATCAATTATGTACTCTTATTTCTGAATCTGACAAGGTCTGCATGAATGGAAACAAAATGGTTATGACAACAATTATGACCTTACCTCTTAGGCTTACTTATGAAGTGGTAAGTTAAAGCAATGGAAACTTACTGGTCTTGATGGAGTCAGTTTGGTTTGACCCAAAGGAATATTTTTGAAGCTAATAAGAGTTTTTAGGACATAAACCATAAAAAAGTGGTTTGTTGGCACCCAGGTCATCTACCTGAACTCACATACATGGTGCTGATGTAAACAATATGACCATAAAAACAATAAAGTCAGATTAGGTTTAAGAAGTCAAACCAGTTGCTCTTTAAAGTCCTAATACAGCTGCCACTTAAAGGGAAGTCTCATCGATGTATTGTAAGTAGAATTATGAGAGTAGAGAGGGACTCCGGTTGGCTATAACATCATGATATGGATGACAGCTGTTTGCTGCTAAGTTATCTTATACTGCAGTGCAGGTGACTTCCTTAAAATAAAAGATGTCCATGGAGTTTTAGTGACAAGGATATAAAAAAAAAATAAAGTTTTTTCGTCAAATTTTTGGTTTTTAACTAGAGTCACAATACTACAATTAGAATTTGTTACTTGGTTCAAGTAACTTATTAATTTTTTATCTTTATCTTTTCTCAGAGCCTTGGCAATATTAGAAAAAATGTGTGCAAACAGTTGTATTTTACTCTTAGAGATATGACACATGGCTATTTTTCTTAATTATTGTTGTCATCTCACCCATAATACTAGTACTTTTGATGGAAGATAGGAAAAAATAGCCTCTTAACAGACTATATTTTCTACTTTTAAAAGAGCTCATAGAGTGATTGATGAAGTATCCAGAATAATTAAGAAAAATTCACTTCTTACAGCTTTAATATTTAAAAAATAGTTTCTCTCAAAATTCAAATGTGTGATCATGGATGAGTGGTGGTGGAGTGTGTTTCAAAAATCTGTTAGCCCTGCAGCTATTTAAAGAAATCTTAAACCTTATTATTATATATTTTTTAACCATTTATGAAATAATCACGGGTACAGTTACATTTTTCAAGTGCCACCTCTTTCCTCTTTTACTTTCTCTACCTCAGATTCCTAGCATCTGGCTGGATAAAAATCAAGCACAGCTCACTTGCAGAAATTTACATGCAATATTAAGAAAAAAGAAGGAGGAACAATAAATCTATTTTAGGTCTATTATAAAAATTTCTATAAACTTAAATTGACCTCTAAGCTGACACTAAATCTATATTTTGGTGGGTTAATGTTAATTTTTTTTTTATTGTTTCAGTGCTTAACGGGCAAGATAGAAAAATAATTGGATCATCTAATTAAGCAAAATGGTATTTAGGTAAAAGAGGTTTCTTGGGACAAGAAACAAACTCTTAGAATGAATGCTTTGACCATGTATGTTTTAATGTTGTCATTGGTTGTTAGCTTATTTTACAGTTGTTCCAGGGTTCAAAACGGAACCCCATTGATCAATCTATAAATTCTACATTTCTCTACAATGAACTCAGAGAGTCAACATCCTCATAGACTTGTGGAACAATAAGACATATAGTTGACCTATTAAAAAGTGGTTTTTCTATCTAAAGCATATAAATCTGAGTTTTGGGAATGTTTATCCATACTGTTTAAATTCCACATCTCTGCTCATAATTTCTTAGATACATTGAAGCTATTTTTAATTTTATCTTTGTGGGTTGTTGTGTTTTTGATATATTGCCTTTTTACAAAATTCTTAGTATTGTGGTAGCCAATCTGAAGAACTATCACAGAATGCCAGTAGCAAAGAAGACTTCAATCAAACTCTGATGTCAAGTGAAGATGCCCATGGAGGTGACAGTCTCATTGAGACGGTAAGAGCTCCCCCACAGAATGTTAAAAGGATCTAGCAAAGCTTCTCACCTACCAAGGATAGTGCACGCCACACCTTTCAGCTTGTTCTAGGGAAATTTGCTCATTGTTTGACTCAGGAATTTGCAAAATAATTGTATTTTTTGGTTTAATTAAACATAGTTAACGTGCATAATAGGCATATCCTATATAATAAAAGGGTAATATGCAAATTAATAATCACTCTGCTAACCAAACCCACACCCACAAGCCACGTCCACCAGCCAATCAGGAGCAAGTATGTAAATTAACCCAACCAAGATGGCTGTGGCCATGGAGAGAGCAGGATGAAGGCTTGGGATTCCCCAGAGATGGAAGAAGCCAAGCTTCTGCAGCCCTGGCCTGCTTTGTCCTCCACTTAAGGCTACAAAGTTTCAATTATAGAAGATAAATAAATCTCAAAGAAATGGCTGCCTCCACAGAGTGAGCAGAAGGCTTGGCTCACTCCAGGCTACAAAGTTTCAATTGTAGATGATAAATAAATCCCAGATACCAAGGCCTCCACTTGGGTCACCAGGGGGTGTGGCCAACCTGCAAACTGCCACAGGTTCCTCACCTAGGACACCTCAAAAGCCAAGGGAACCCCCACCCTGATCCGGGACACCGTTTAGGGCAAACCAGCTGGCTCCCACCCAGGCACCAGGCCGCCATCCTATCTAATAAGAGAGTAATATGCAGATTGACCATCACTCCAACACACAAGATAGCTGCCCCCATGTGGTCAAAGATCCTGCCCCTATGTGGACACAAGATGGCCACAAGATGGCCAGCAGGGGAGGGCAGTTGGGAGGGACCAGGCCTGCAAGGGAGGGCAGTTGGGGCGATCAAGCCTACAGAGGAGGGCAGTTAGGGGTAACCAGGCCTGCAAAGGAGGGAAGTTGGGGCAAACAGGCTATCAGGGGAGTAGTAAGACATCAATCAGGCTGGCATGGGAGTGGTTAGGTGATAATCAGGCTGGCAGGCAGAAGTGGTAAGGAGCAATCAGGAAAGCAGTCAAGCAAGTAGTTGGGAGTCAGCAGTCATGGATTGTGAGAGGGATCCCAGATTGGACAGGGTGCAGGCTGGGCTGAGGGACAACCCCCCTCCATCCTGTGCATGAATATTGTATATTTACTCATAAACACAAACACACACACACACACACACACACACACACACACACACACATATATATATATATATATATATATATATATATATATTTATATATCAATAGATATGTTTAACTTGCAGTATTAACAAACCTTTAATTCTTAGGTTAGACAATATATGTATAAAGTGATATATATATATATATATATATATATATATATATATATATATATATATATATTTGTTAAGGGATGATATTATTGGGATCTTCCCTTCATTGTTTTAGGTGTTCATATTAATAAAATAAAGATTTCTAGCCAAAATTGAATCACTTCTTTGTTATTTACATGTATGATATTTTGAAAACTAACCATGGCCCTATAGAACATAATATATGGGAGAGACTTAAGGTCAAAGCCTCTATCATTGAACCAGATTTCAACATTAAGATAGGCTATTGATTCTGTGAGATTTAATAGAACTAGCCTTGGGTTCTAATTAAGCTCGAATCACAACTTATCAATATCACTTTGAACAAACCACTTAAGTCTCTGTATCTCAGGTTTTTTTTAATCTGGTAATTGAAAATATTAATATATTCCATGCTAGTATGGTCCCTGTAAGAAATAAATAACATGTATGTGAAGTCTCATAGAAGAAATATAAAGAAGTGTGCAAATGAAAGATTATTGATCTTCATGCATGGCTCCGATCAAGTTAGCATTCTGACTTTCTTTCATTTTCCCTCTACCCTTGCACTTGACATCAGCAAGTGCTCTAAAGGGATAAACAGATTTGCACAAACATATAGTTAAATTACTGCATAAATCAGTTGGAATCACTATCCAATTCATTTGAGACTTATGCTCTGTAGTCTTCAAAAGATTATAACTTTTAAGGTCAATGATATACCTTAAAAACGTTTTTAGAAGTTAAGTGGGCAAGAAATATTATCCAGTATACATAAATGGAATGCAAATTTTCCTTAGAGTCCAAGAATAAAGGAAGGAAATAATGTGATTGTTAGCTTCTGAACTTTTGAATAGCATGTCAAATATTCAGGAAAAAACTTTATAGTTATTCTCTTTATTTACACTTAAGTAATGATTAAACATTACATTTTCTCATTTGATATAATAGTGCTTTAAAACAATAAAAACAAGAGAGAACATTTGTATCATGCTAATATATTCCCAGATTTGAAAATTCAGACTTAAAATTGCTGAAAGAAAAAATATAGGGAATTTTTTAATTTTAACATGGGGATTTAAAAAAAATTGATATGTGTTATACTTAGTTACAGAGAATAATAAAGTAAAAAATTATCTTTAAAACATCATAAAATTGTCTCTTTAAGTATTCAGAAGAACCCTACTAGTGAATATAAGGTTTCAATTACTTTTAGTTCTAAAGCTGCTCATTTCAAGGACCACATTAGCTTTTTAAAAATTTTCATTGTTCAGTTAAAGGACTTTTACTTTCTTTAGTAAGTGAAGAATCATCCTCTGAAAGTAACCTTCCAGGGAAGTTAACTCTTGATTGAAAGCCATGGTGAAGAAGTGTCTTTCTCCGAGGTTGCAACTCATAATCCTTTTGTCTGTATGGCATTTCTGTTAAACAGGCCAAAGTGTTTGTAAATAACTTATCTACAGTGTGTGAGAAAGACTGGACTTTGGGACTCCATCAGACATTCCTGTTAATGCTAATAATTGGAAGATGGCTTCTACCTATTGGAGGCACAATCACTCGGGACCAACTCTCTGAACTTCTCCTTTTGTTTGTGGGGACAGCTGCTGACATTCTGGAATTCACAAGTGAGACCTTGGCAGAAAAAACTGTGAGGTAAGCAGTGAAAGGCCCTGCAAGGAAAAGACTTTCTCTACAAGGTCAGAGCCCACACAATTGTCTCGTTGTTCCATCATTTCTATTATGCATGAATAAGGATTTTTAGTATACTATATGCCCAATGGTTGAATCATAGACTTTGATGCTGTGCAGATACATATTGGGTACCAGCCCAGTGGAGATGAGATAGAGATAGAGACAGAGACAGACTTTAATACAGAAAGGAGATTTCTGCCAGAGAAAGGGGGCAAATAATTTTTCCTATGAGTGAGACAAAAAAGCTCTGCGTGTCTACAGGACCACAGGTTAGACAGAACCATGGTTACCTAAACATCTTCTGGAGATGGATGACCACCACTAGCTGCACTTTCACATTTTAAAGTGTCCAGGAATGTAGTAAGATCCTCTTCCAGAGCACAGCACAGCTATCATTCCAAGAAAGCACCTAGGAGAGACTTGGCAAAACCTCTCCCCTGCCCCACTGGGAAATTTATATTCCCTGGTGTGAATGGAGAATGGGGCATATTAGGTTTCATTTTACTAAATTTTATTTTTAGTCAGTTTTGTTCAAAGTGCCCAAGGCTTTCTGGAGTAGATGCCTATAAATTAAAACTTATTGAGTTGGTACTTTATTTTTGCCACAAGCAAACAAACTCAGAATCCATGATCACATCTGTTTATGGAACTACTTTCTTACCGTAAGGGATTTAAATCTCAGTGCCTGAATGTACTTTCAGCTTGGTTTGCTTTGCACTATGCTATAAAAATAAATTGCAATGTGGCTGGCTGTTAATGCTACAGTTTACTGTATGCTATGTTTCTCAAACAACAAAATATAAAGCTGAACAAAATGCACTAACTGAGAAAACTTAATACCCCAATTATAGCGCAAAGTATATCTATAACCACAGGTTACCTTTACATGATCATTTCTTGTCTCACTATACTTATTTTTCTGTTACCTCATTAAGTGGGCATATAATTTTAAAAAGAATACAATCTAAGTTGATCCAATATCTTCAAAATGTTTATTTTAGTTTCGTAGCTTTAATAACTTCCACTGGGTCAGTGATTTTCATCATATAACTAATTTTCAGATACACAAGGACACAATACAGTAGAGTTACAAGAAAACACAAAGAAATCCTTACCAAGTACATAAACACAATAAATAACTACAGGTAAAGAGACAGGAACATGAGAATATAAAGATAATTACTACACCTCTATAGAAATAAACACATAAATGCTAAATATCAAGAGGGGTGGGAGGGATATTAAGTAGGAAATAGGGTATTCAGGAGCTATACAAAAATGATACATTCATTTTTCCACCCTCTGTGACTGATTATCTAGTATGTGCCAGGCAATGTATTGGTCAGATATTGGGGAGCAAATGGTGAGCAAGTGATGAGCAAAAGAATATACAATCCTATCTCAACTGAGACAATTTCAATTTCTTCTGATCAGAATGTTTCACGAATCTCTCCCCCCCGCCCCCCCATTTAAAGCTTATATCATGTCCTGAAGATGGTATCAAATAAATTATGCCATGGTTTCAGTTTTTAAATTTCTTTTCAGGTTTCATGATCTCAGATGGAAGTAACTTTACTTTTTATATAACTGCATTGTATCCTTGAACTTCTGTAGTCTCTACTCCATTCCTGCATGTTTCTGTTACTCAGATTCCAAAATCAAGGCCCAGAAAGAACCTAGAAACCTAGAGCTGTTTCTCTCCTAAAACTCATCTCACAAATTCCGATTTCACCTCAGGGCCCATCTATATTGCAAGAATTAACACTAGTAATCCCCCTTTCTTCAAAGATTTAACCCCCTCCCATTATGGCATAGCTTTTCCCTGTGGTCTCAACAGTACAATCACAAAGAATAAATTTAATATACTCAGAAAGGATGTTTATATGTAGTATCAAAGGAGGCTACTTTATTTTAATTTATTTAGCATTATCTATATTAGTACAGTATTTTATTTTCTATTTTATTTTATTCCATAGTTTGGACTTATTAGGAAAAAGCTTGCAATGACATTTTACAATGGAAGTACATTCCAATAATATCTATCTCTTCCCTATATCCTGACTAAAATCTTAAATCCAATTTTTTGACCTAAATCAATTTACTTCATTATGCCCATATGAAGCTAATCTGCCTTATTTTAATAAGTTTACATACTGCAAATATTTCTTAATTACTTAACTTTATATAGCATAAAAGTCAACTATTATAATTCAATGGTTAAATGATATTTACTAAATGTATAGATCTATATAACCATCACCAGAATTAAGATTCCTTATTGCAGTCAATTCTCACTCCCACTAGCAATTCTAGGTAACTATCAACATGCTTTCTGTTTTTAAAAAAACATTTCATGTAAACGGAATCATGAAACAGTAGTCTTTTGTGACTGGTTTTCTCATAGTATAATATTTTGGGGTTCACATTGTTGCTCTTTTAAATTGCTGAATAGTATCCCATGCATATATCACATGTTACTTATCCATTTCATAGTCAATATACATGTATTGCTATTTTCTTGCATTAAAAATGATATTGCTATGAGATTCATTTACAAGCCTTTGGATGGATCTATTTTCATTTCTGTTGTATAGATAACTAGAAGTAGAATGACTGGGTTTTATTTAAGTACATGATTAATGTTTAAGAAACTTCCAAACTTTTCCAAAGTGGCTGTACCTTTTTATATTCCCACCAACAATGAGAATTCCTTCCTCTCCGCCCCCGCCCCACCCCCACATTCCTCAATAACACTTTTTTTTTTTTTCAGTCTTTGGTAATCACCACTGTAGTGGGTTCATAGTAGGATCATATTGTGGTTTTAATTTATATTTCCCTAATGACTAATACTGTTGAGCATCTTTCCATATACTGATTAATTAGACTTTCATATATCTTCCATTGTAAAGTGCCTGTTCAAATTTTTGTTCATTATTTATTGGATTTATTTTTTATTATTATTGAGTTATGAGTTCTTTATATATTCTGGATACAAATCCTTTATTATATGTATAAATGTAAATGTTTTCTCCCAGTATACATATTTTTTTTATTCTTTAATGTCATCTGAAGAACACTTTAAAAAGTTTTGATATAATCCCATATATCTATTTTTTTCTTTTATGTAGTACTTTGGGTATCATATCTAAAACATATTTTCCTCACCTATAATTAGATATATTCTCCTCTGTAATATTTTGACTTATTTTTTGGGGGGGAGGAGGGGTAGTGTGAGGCAAGGTTCTAAGTTCATTTTTGTCTTGTTTTGTTTTGGGCATTATTCCAATATTATTTTTCCCCTAGCTAGGACCAATTCTCCTAGCACCATTTGTTGAATAGTCTATTCATTCCCTATTAAATTGCTCTGGCATCTTTGCTAACTGATCATATATGTAAGAGTTTTTGTTTTATTTTTTTAATGGACATTCTTTAGGGTTCCATTGCTATATATATCCATTTTTATACCAGTACCCCATTATTGTGATTACTAAAGTGCTATGGTAAGTTTTGGAACTGAATTCTGTAAGACTTTTAACATTGTTCTTCTTAAAAATTGTTACAGCTACTCTAGGTCCTTTGTATTTCCATTAAAGTTTTATAATCAGTTTGTCAAATTCTATAAAACAATCTGTGGGAATTTTGATAAGAACTATTTTAAATCTAAGCATCGATTTGTGAATAAATGACATCTTAATATTGTCTTCAATCTATGGAAGACATTAACTATCTCATTTTATTAAAATGCTCTTTAATTTTTCTCAACAATGCTCTGTAAGATTTTTTGTTAATCCTCATCCAAGGCTATTTTTACCATTGATTTTTTTTAAAAGAGAGAATAGAAAGAAGGGAGGGAAAGAGTAAGAGAGAAAGAGAGAGATTGATGTGAGAGAGACACATTGATTGGTTGCCTCCTGCATGTACCTCAATCAGGCCCAGGAATTAACCTGTAACCCAGGTAAGTGTCCTTAACCAGGAATGGTACCCATGACCCTTCGATGCCAGGGAAGGCAAACACTTTAATCTCTGAACCACATTGACCAGAGGTGCTTTGTAATTTGTAATGTACAATGCTTTTCCCTCTTTAATGTTCTTTAGGACTTTTAAACTAGTTCACCCAGTGCTTAACATCTCTCCCATCTTTTGTTTCAGTAGAGGTGAATTTAATCTTTCTCCCCTACTGCACCAGTCTTAAATACAATCTTCCTTGCCTTATTAACTCAGCTGGGTCCAAATTGTCTTTGACATAGCCAAGCTGGAAGAATATGGGAACATCCCATGGGCAAGAGTGCCTCAGACTCCACTGCTCTTAACTAAAGTTCTACTAGATTTTCATGAATAAATGTAACTCAATTTATTATTTGCTTTTGTTGAGTTCCAGAGATGAAAAGTGTTTTTTGTTTCTTTTTTTAAACAAATTGTCCAGTGTTAGGTATGTTTGTTGGGGAGAGGACTTGCTGACTTTCTCATTCTGCTACAGCAACCTTCTAACATTGTAACAAGTCTGAGTTTCAATGTCATTGCCGGGAAGAGTTAAGCATTACATTACATCTTTGGTGATCAGTCTGTTCAGTGTTTTCTGAGCACAGATCATTTATTAAAAAGAACAAATTTGTTCCAATAGCATTACTGTTATTTTACTGTGAGTATTTGACCTCACAAAGGAGGATTTTCTTATGTTTACACTATTTTCTTTTTATTTGGCTTTTTTTTTGCTTGATGAAACATTTCTTCCAGGCTAAATTAATGTTTAATTTTCTTGGTTTTTTTTTTTCTCTATCTCCTTTATCATCCACCTCCAAAAGGGTTTGTTTGTAAAAGCAAGATGGATTTTATTCACTGATTTTCTCTTATTTACAGAAATATTTCCACTCCCAAAAAGAAATAGTTAAGCAAATTAGCAATGCATGACTTTATTTTTATCACTTAATATATATAATGCACCAAATTCCAGTCTTTTATCCACTCAGTTTTCCAAATATAGAAGTGATGCTCACATCTACAATTATGCGACTCTAGAGCCTTTGTCTCTTTATGAATAGAGTCCATTGTCTGCTTACATGCTTTTCAGTTGACATTTATGGAGACAGATTACACATGAGAAAATGGGGCAAGACAATTGCGGGAGACAATTACACAATTCAGACAATGTTGGACAAATTCACTCAAAAATTCCTATACAATTTTTTGAGTGTTTGCCATTTAAATTCAGTGATTTATTTATATTCTAACCTTTAACCTTTCTGAGTAACTTTTACTGTTTGATTTAATAATACAAATTTATCTGCTTCAAAAATTATCTGGCCATCATTTGCAAAGTTATTTTAATAACTTTACTAATAAGTTTCTCAACACACACATTCTCCCATGTTTTGTTTGTGCTCAGATAAAACTTGCATATGCAAAAGACACGCATTCATTATTTTAGGGTTAAAATTTGGGTTACTTAGAGCTAGGGTTAGTATATTTTTATCCCTATTTTGTATAATAAAATTAAAATACAAAGAGTTTAAGAAGAATGCTCACATAATAAAAATTCAACTACTAGAAAATATTTATTTATTACTTGCTGTGTTCCAAGTACTCTTCTAAGGGTTTTAGTTTTAATAAGTTATTTAGTCTTTTTTTTTTAAATATATTTTAATGATTTTTTACAGAGAGGAAGGGAGAGAGATAGAGAGCCAGAAACGTCGATGAAAGAGAAACATCGACCAGCCACCTCCTGCACATCCCCTACTGGGGATGTGCTTGCAGCCAACGTACATGCCCTTGACCGGAATCGAACCCGGGACTTTTCATCCACAGACTGACGCTCTACCACTGAGCCAAACCGGTTCCGGCTATTTAGTCTTTATAATAGCACTATGAAGTAGATACTATCATTTAAATCATTTTTAAACATATATTGTAATTTAAAAATATTTTTATTGATTTCTGAGAGAAGGAAGAGAGAGAGAGAGAGATAGAAGTGTCAATGATGAGAGAGAATCATTGAACGGCTGCTTCCTGCATGCCCTACACTAGGGATTGAGCCCACAACCCGGGCATATGCCCCGACAGGGAATTGAACAATGATCTCCTCGTTCATACATTGATGCTCAATCACTGAGCCATGCTGGATAGGCATTTCCATCATTTTTTAAGCTGAACAGTGACAGCTAAGAGAAGTTGACAAAGTCTCAAGCCCAAATGAAAATAAAGGCAGTAACTAACTTGTAGTGATCTTTCATAGTCTTTACGGAGTATTGTTCTAAGAGCTTTATATATTTAATATATTTAAGCAACATACTTAATAAAATTATCATATAAAATACAATAGCTATTATTATTACCTTCATATCAAAGATGAATATACTATAGCATATTGGGATTAAGTTAGTTCTTCATATCCATGTAGCTAGCTAATGATCAGTCTGGGATTGGAGGCCCAGATTTCTCTGGTGAGGGTGGAGCTAGTATTTGAACTTGAGCAACCTAGTACTAGAGCTTATGCTTCCCCATCACTTCCTGCTGCCTTGAAGAAAAATTGTACATGAGTTATTGGTAGAATTATTAAAGTTTTGGATTAGAAGAAACTTCAAAAGTGACCACCTATTTTACATCTATTATAAAATCTTTTCCAAAAATTTCTCAATAAATTTTGTCCAACCTTTCTTTGAAATTTTTGCTAACAGAGAATACACTACCCCAGGAGCAGGTTATTCTATTTTAAGTTAATATTATTAGAAATAATTTTCCTCTATTGTGAAGAAATTTGGATTTTTATAGGTGCTACTGAAGACCTCTTAACCTGAATCGCCTCTCTGAAGTCACAAGAAATAAGTTTAATTTCTTTCCCACATGATAGCCCTTTAAATGTATGAAATAATGTTTTAAAAGAATCTTCTCTAGTTTTCAGTTTCTTGAACTACTCCACATGGCTCTGAGTTATCTACCGTACTGTCTCTCTCCTTTGAACCAAAAAGTTTTTAATTGTTCTTCGTAAAACAAAGCAAGACATAATATTTCAGATATGTTCTGAACATTGTACAATAGAACAGGAGTAAAACTTTCCATTTCCTTTATGTAAATATTATAGTATAGTGGTTAAAAGGGTGGATGTTTAAACCAGCTATTTAGTTTTGATTTCTGTATCCAACACTTATAATCACATGACTTCAAATAAGTTACTTCAACTCTGTATGCCTCAGTTTCCCCACTGGTCAAGTAAAAAAAATAGTGAGTTTACTTTGTAGAGTTGGTATTAGGATGAAGTGTGATCATAGAGTTAAACACTTAGAAAACTGCCTGAACATAGTTCAGACACTATAAGCAAAATTGTTTAAAAATTCAGGTACTTGTTGAAGGTCTACTATAAAAAGAGATTAACATTGCAAAGAAGGAGAGTAATTGACTGTGTTTCTTAGGTATTTCCACTTAAAATGCTAGTCTTTATTCTTTTTGTAAAGCAACTTATGATTGCATTTGATTTTGGAAAATCATAAATCAAGTAGCACTGTACACTCATAATTAGATAATAGTAAGGAAAAATATTTGAGTGTTTTTATGACTGCTTCTGTGAAATGCTACCTCTTTTATCCTATTCTATATTATCTGGTCAAGATATTTTGGGATCCTGACGGTGTCTCCTGGAGTTTTAGCTTCCCATCCAACCTCCATGTCATATGTGCATATGGGAAGCCTTCCATCAATGTCAGCAACCAAGTCATTGATGAAATACGAAGTAGAACAGGATCAAAGGCAGAGCCTGCAGCAACCCATTACAGAGCTCCTTTGGAGAGTCATTTTACATAGTTAAGACTCCACCTAACTATATTCAAACCCAACATATTTCTTAATCTTGTTAATAGGAACACTATGAGAGGCTTTTTATAAGCTTTGGTAAAATCCCAATGTCAATGATTAATTTATATATCATTACCTGCCTGGTAATCCTCCTTCTATTTAAAAGAAAGAGAGAGAAAATAATAATAGTGGAGTGCTAATTTGTCTCGGGTTACTTGTGCTGATTCCTAGTAAAGCTCTCAGAAATCTTTTAAATAGTCCCATATAATCTAACTAGGGATTAATAGTAAGTGTGCCTTTTGTAGTTTAAGAAATCCTGGTTCGTTTTGAAAGTCAGGACTTTTTGTGTGTGTGTGTGTCACCAACCTTGTCTCCACCATTAACTGCCAAGACAGATAATGATGGCTTAGAATTCTCATTTACAAACTTTCTCTGAGTTTTGAGATCTAATTTTTGAGCCACTCAATTCTTGAAACATTTAAAGGTATTCCTTACAATCACTTCATGCAGTTTGGTTTCAATTACTCTTCTCTGATACTTTTCTCTCTCTCTCCAATCTGAAAACTCCACCTTGACAGGGTAGTTGGCAACAAGATCTGTTATTATACAACTATCCTGAAATTAATAACTTCATTTAAATTTTTGCTAAAAAGGTGACTTTGATACTTTGAAATATGTTTGTATTTTTGTAACTTCTTTATGGCTTTAATCTTACACACTGTACTTCTAGATCGAGGGCATTTGTTTATTTGCTAAGTGTGGGTCCTTCTTTTGTACATTCAAAAGTTTCTTCTATAGATATTTGGTGAGTGTTTATTATTGGCCAGGCACTGTTCTAGGCACTGGGAATACAGAGGTATATAAAACAGTCATGTTCCTTGACTTACATTCTAAAATCTGGTGTAAATCTTTGATAATTGGATTTATCTCCCCACTTGTTTTCCAACTGAGGATAGCTTTCTTTTAATGCTGAGCTTTTAACTGTTGGGCATCATGTAGCACTTTTGAGATGTATTTTAAAATTTAAATCTTAGGATCTTAGAACAATTTTCCTTTTTCTCCTTGAATTTTTTTTCAAATCAGCCCTCTGATTTTCCAGGTCAACATCTAACATTTCCCCCAGCTTTTTTCTCCTTTATATTGACATGATTTTGTAAAAGTAAAGGCAGCAATTAGGATTTTTCATAAGTCACACAGATGTTGGCAAATGTGGTGGTCAAGGCTAACCTCTCTGACTCTGTGTCTCCCCTCCCCCCCTTTTTTTACATTAGTCCATTGTAATTATGCATGGATTTTTCATGGATTTATAATATCAGCAATATATAATAAGATTTATTAGGATATACTAAAATATGAGAAGAAAGAGAAAAAAGTTTTCTTTTCTGCATGTGATCATATTTTAATTGCTAATTTAAAATGTGTCTGCATTCTAGGAATAACCCTGGCCTAGTCTATGGCATCCTTTGTGTTTGGACCTGGAGCATGCTGCAGTTTCCACTTGACTTGGCAGGTAAGTGTCTTGATGTTTCTAAATGAAACAGAAAAGTACAAATTCTTGATCATAAATTATAATAAAGCTAAAGTGGCATTTAAGGGAATTATCATTTTTATCTTTTGATATCTCAGTGTTAGTTCCAGTTCAGTTTAGATGAAAAGATTAAAACTTCGGAAAGCCACTTGCAGATTCACTCTGATACATGGTGAGTCTGAGAAAGTTGAGAGGATAAGCTTTACATTCACTTCATACAGTGGTTGCATCATTTAACATTTGTAAAGCCTCGTGTAACTTAGTGAACACACCTGTGTGTCAGTTTTTTATCTATGAAATGGAAATGATAATCATAGTAGCTAGGGTTGAGAATCTTCTTCCTTTTGACAGCAGAGTTGTATTCCATTCTGCAACTGCACCACAGATTTTTTATCCATGTGCCTACTGTTGGATACTTGGGTTGCTTCAAAATCTTGACTATTGTAAATAATGCTAATGATTTATTTTTTATGGCACCCTCATAAGTAATATTAGGGCAAGTATTTTGCAATAGTTAAGATTTAGAAGTTCCAGGTGCACATTAGTAGATGAGTAGATTAAAAAAAAAATCCTGTGGTACATTTACACAATGGAATACTACTCAGCCATAAAAAGAAGGAAATCATACCTTTTGCGACAGCATGGTTGGACATGTAGAGCAATGTGCTAAGTGAAATAAGCCAGTCAGGGAAAAGATAAGTACCATATGATTTCATTTAAATGAGGAATCTAATGAACAAAATAAACTAACAAACACAATAGACTTAGACAGAGACTAGACTGACAACTGTCAGAAAGGAGTGATTGGGAGAATGGGTGAAAAGATAAAGGAACTGGGCAAAGAAAAAAAGAATACATTGACACAGAAAATAGTGATTATCAGAGGGAAAGGGGGGTGGGGAGATGTAAAAGAAATTAAAGGGGGAATAAATAGTGATGGAAGTAGAGTTGACTGGGTGTTGAATACACAATACAATACACAGATGATGGATTAAAGAATTGTACACCTGAAACCTATATACTTAATTTATTAACCAATGTAATGCCAATAAATTCAATAAAATTAAAATAAAAAATAAAATTTTCTGCATCTTTTTTTGGCTCACTTTGATAGGCCTAGACATTTCAGAGGTCATTTTAAACCTTAGCATCTACTTTCCTGAAACAAAATTGTCACTAGGTTAGATGGAAAGAGTGGCTGTAGCTTTGAAGCTTTATGGAAATACCGAAATCTAATTACCAGTTAATAATTACAAACAAACAAACATATGCCAATAACACAAATGAGAGAGAGAGAGAGAGAGAGAGAGAGAGAGAGAGAGGAGAGAAAGAGAGAGAGAGAGAGAGAAAGAGAGAGAGGAGAGAAAGAGAGAGAGAGAGAGAGAGAGAGAGAGAGAGAGAGAGAGAGAGAGAGGAGAGAGAGATGTCATAATGTGCCCTGCAAGGTGTCCTATACCCATTGATCTGCTGGTGTCTTTGGACAAAATATTCGGCACTATCACTACATATGGAACAATAATACTCTTAGGAAGTCCACTGGGAGCATTTTCCTGACTCTAACTTCTTTGGAAATATTATTATTGATCTTTTGTTGTTGTTGTTGTTGTTGTTTATTGTCTTTCAATCTGCTGGTCTTCGTCTTCCTATATCTTGTGGTTTATAGCTTTGCTAAGAAAATTTTTATTTAAGAAAGAAATTGTGTAAACTTTCAGAGGGTGATAATGTTATGCAGCTGTTTGAAAAACAAAGACCAAATGTTACTTCTAACTAAATTACTATTGTATTTTCCCGGGAACAACATTATATTCATATGAAGGCAGCTTCATAATATTTGCAGGCTTTAGCAGACAAGCATTCTTTGTTTGAAAGCCCCAAATGGAAGGCTTCATTATTATTAAAAGATTATTTTCTGCCCTTGACCCTAAATTAAATTCATATTTTAGAAATTAAAACAAAAAGGTTCATTTGTTGATTATACCTCATTTTGTTCAACTGGAAAATCAGTAATTATATCCAGTTTTCCTTGTAAACCGTGAAACAAAACCATAAGGAATTAGACAAAATAAAATAACAATGGCCATTTTTTGGGTTTTTTTTCCACCACCATTAGAAAAATATGTTGAACATAAGTTAAGTTTGAATTTGAAGTTAAGTGCTTGAATTTTCACAACACAATGTACACAGAGGATGAGGTGAGTCAACTCATAAATAGGTAGATCTCAAGGAGAAGAGCCCAGAGGTTCTGGGTCATGTTTGCTCTCCTGAGTCTGCAGATGTGATAGTCAGGGAAGTCACTCATTATCCCAAAAAGAAGATAGTGTGAGAAAGGAGAAAGGAGCCAGGAATATTATTCTAATGGAAACAAACAAGAATCAGTTAAATGGGGACTGTCTCCTCACAGATACCATCATTATCCCATTTTTCCAAGAAGGAAAATGAGACTCAGGCAGATTAACTTGCCCAGCATCTTCCTGCCAAAAACTGAGGAAGCCACGGAGAGGCAGTCAGGTCCCCTGCCAAGGCCCAGGGCACCCCTGTGTGGTCTCCCCACACTGCAGACCCAGGGACCAAGGTGGTGGTTTCCTCCGTTCCTGAGTCTCTTTATCCTGGTTAACTGTGCTTTTCCCAGTGTGACGACTGGAAGGTGATCTGAATTGTTTGCATAGACATAAACTACAGGACTGGCTTTCTGTGGTGTGCTTTATTGGAAACTTATCATTAAGTATACAATAACCAAGGATGTTTCACCTGTTCCGACTGAATGAAATTCCAGAGTCACTCTCAGTCTTGAACTAGCAGGGCACCCAGTGTTGAAGACTTGTTCCCATTTCAGCCTTGTCTTACTTTCTGACATTTCAGAGAGATGCATTAATCGGTGTGTCTTGTGTTTTCAGTACATCATGTCGCCAGCCCCTTGTCCCTGAGGGCGAGGGGGTTCCCCAGTCTCTTCTTTTGCCAGTACAGTGCCGACCTGTGGAACATCGGAATCAGCGTCTTCATCCAGGACGGCCCCTTCCTCATCGTGCGTGTCGTACTGATGGCCTATTTCAAAGTGTTCAACCAGATGCTGGTGTTCTTTGCTGTTAAGAATTTCCTCGTGGTGATGCTACACCTCTACCGCTTGGTGGTCCTGGCACTGGGCGCCCGCGCCTCCCTGCGAAGGCGGCCGGAGGACCTGAAAGGAGTGCGGGGCGGCCCGGCCGAACCCCTGGAGAGCGGGGTCTCCCCCGGGGCCTGGGAGGGCGAGTCTAAGGAGGACGTGGCTGTGCCTCTGCGGGCCTCGCCAGGCACCCCGGAGGACTCTCCCTGCACCCCGTAGTGAGTGATGGACAGCGGATGCCACAAAAGTACTTGACTTCCCATTTCTTCTTACGAACAGAATCTCCTACCCCCTCCCCCCTTTTTTCTCTTTCTAAACCTTGGATGCAATAATTTTCCAAAGAACAACAAAAGGGTCCGAAAAAACCTCAAAATGATATACATGGGGCCACTTTAAAATGGAGCGGAAGCTGCCACTCCAGGGGAAAAGCCTTGCAGGGTGTACACATCACGCTTTGGGATGCTAAAATGGGACCAAACAGACTCTGGATGGAGCCACCACGTGTCCCAAAGAAGTGTTTGCAAGGATAATAAGAAAGTAGATATTTTGCCTACAGGGCTGATGGCTACCTGACCAAAAATTAAAAACATTTTTAGGATTAGCAGCACTGTGCTGTCTGCACCAATAGAAAGGCCTCTCTTCTATGGATGAAATTGCTCCCTTTTCCTTTCTCATAAGTACCCTTTGCCGTTGTCTCCTCATCAGAGCGTGAATTGGGCTTCAGCCTACATCCATGTGTTCTGAAGAGCTATGTTTATTGATCTCCAATAAATGCTTGTTGCCTTTCACTTTGAAAGGCTTTTATTTTTAGGTAATCAAGCCAAAGCTGAGAAGCTCTCTTTTTTTTAAACTGAATGGAAAGAACTTTGATTAGTGGCTATTGTTACAGTTTGTGTGATGGCATCAGATGTTAGAGTTGTTCAACAACTAAGTGATTTGTTTGTCTTGAACCGTTTGACAAGCTGTGGCTAGGGTTACAAGGACATGCCCTCTAGAGACTTCGTGCAGACAAACTGTCTGGGGCTGTTACCTGAAAACCGAGGAGTTTTCAACTTTGGCTCCCGTGTCAGACTGTCTCATCTGATCTTTTCTGCAATGTCCCTGACATTAAAAAAAGAAAAAAAACTACATTCAGTGAATGCAGAACAAATAAAGGGAAATGTGCCTTTAACATTACCTCACTGGGGGCTAGAAACAGTGAAAATCTCTGCCCAGCTTCTCCGCACAGACCTTCCCAGGAAAATCATTTTTTTCTGGACTGATGTGGTATTCTGTCATGGCGTATATATTCTTACAGGAATTTTATTGCTTCTGGCTTGGGCACTGCAAAATTCACAGCAAGCCATTTCAGTTCCAGATTCACCGGTTGCGAGGCAGGAAATACTGGTAATGCTGCGAAGTCACAATTTCCACTCGGAATATGATTGGCGGTATTTGTCAGTATTTTTTTTTTAACTGCACTTCATCCTTTTCTGTATAGCCCAGTCAAATCATGTAGGCTGATGTGAGGAAGCACTGTAAGTAGTGTAGAATGGTGCTATAGGCCCTTTAAGGGTTACCCTAGTTTCTGGTGTCTGCCAGCAGTCTGAACTGCCACTACTAGAGATGGCCGTTGGTCCCAGGGAAGATGTCGGGGACTGGGCTTACATCAGCCCCACACACTGCCAGCAACCCTTGATTAGTGATGGAGTCAGAAGACATATGGCACAGCATTGTGGAAATCGGGAAATTCACCATTCATCCCTGCATTAAGAGTTCATTTCCCCAATATTGACATCGTCACACTTTTCCTTTATACACTGCTATACATTTCAGATGGAGGCGATTCAGAACCTTTTGATAAAACAATTTTTGCTTTTAAGGATACAGTGAGGAAATTTGCCTGGCTGTAGCACAGTAACTATATGAGGCAAACAGTGCCCAAACCGTCCTTTTGGGGTTCAAAGCACAGTTCCTCCTGTTTCTATGCTCAGGAACTCAGAGACCCCGCTAAAGATAAGGCAGAGTAAGTCCCTAAATTGGGTGGGATTTCCTGACAATTAATTGGGACCATTTGATCTATAAATCTGTGTGGTATGACATCTGTTCAAAATATTTGATTAAAAGTTTCATAGGCATTTTCTGTTTTTATACAGAGAAATTAATAATTTCCAATTATTGGCTTCTTCAGTGCTTGATATCATGTTTCTATTTCTTTCTTTTCTCACATGTGTTTCTAATTTTAACAATATGATTGTAAAATTATACATGAAACTAATGGGATCCATTTATAATTTTCCATAATAATTTTATGAAAGATTAGGAAATCATATCTATCTAAAGGAAGAAACTTGACAACTTTTAAGTGCTTGTTATTTAAAATGCTTCGCAATTGAAAGCAAAATAATAGCTGCTATTTATAAAACTGCCTTCCCAGAATCTGTTTTTATGTTGACTGCTTTATGGTGAATGTTTTCCTCCACAACATGTATGTGCTACTTATTACTGCAGACTTGCTCATGGCATACTTTTCATGTTTTAATTTTTTCTTCCAGCAAAACAAACATTGGGGCTCTAAAAATAGATGAGTATAAAGTAATACGGGCTGTTGCAAGGATATTTTTAAATGCTTTCAAATCTGAGACTTGGCTTGGCTTTGTGAATGAGTTTCTAGCATTGAAGTGTTTTGTAATTAGCACTACTCCGAAGGCCTGGAAATGTAAAGTCCGAGTCTAGCTTCACTTGGAGTCTCAAGAAGGCAAAGAGCATCCAGGACCATCTCAACAATCAATGGTGAAAAAACAGAAATATTTTCCAGGAAAATCCTCCAAAGGCATACTTTGTTCGCCTGTCAGCACTCCCACTCTTTTGAACTTAGTGTTTTTATTGCAGAAAGAAAAAATCTTTTCATTTAGCTTATTTAAAAATAAGATGTAAGTCCAGGTTTTATCTCTAGGACTCCTCATAAAAAATTAAAAATATATTGTTACTGTACTTCTTTATTGTAGATAGGCAAACATGGTAATGTTTGAAAACACCCAATTCTTTGCTATGCAGGGGCTAGAACAGCAGTTTCATCCCATATGTTGACATCCTGGGACTTGTTTCCTTTTAATTTGCAGTAAGATAAGTGCCTCAGATCATCTGTTTACTGTGATGCAGGCCATACCTCCGTAGCACCCCCTACAGACACAGGCCAATTCCCCAACCACTGAAGAAATTGACTTATTTGTTATTATTGTTGTATTTTAATTGCGTGATTAAAGTTCAATCAGATGCCCTCCCTCAGAACATAGTTCACTTGTGAGAAAACATAGTACGCATGTTTTAATGATGCTGTGTAAAAACTCACCTCCCTACCCCCTTGTTGGTATTGCTTCCCCTCCCTAGATGGGTCTCAGAGGCCCTGACCTGGCATTGCAAGATGATTGTCTCTGAAGATTTTGTTAATTTTAATTGAAGCTGGTACAGATAACATGAAAATAAAAACTTGCATTGTCAATAACATGCTTTTTAATCTCCCAAAATGAAGATTAAATACAAATGTGTCAATTGGCTTTGCTGAAATTTATAGCAATTCCTCAGGATTTGTAGACCAGAAAGACATGGCTAAGAAAAATCAGGATTCACTATTGTAATATTGATTATTAACTCATTAGCAACTTTTCAAAACCGTGAGAAGGCATGAGTTGTAGGTGCGCGTGCTTTAGGATTTCCATCCAGGTTTCAGAGTTCAACACTGACTTTTATTATCTTTGGCATTTAATCTCAATGACTCTTAATCAACTCCCCTGTTAAAAGAAACAACTGCAAGAGGCCAAGTCTCTGTCCACGTTCACTCTATTGCCAGGAAAGTGAGATACTGCAATATTATAGGGTCTCAGAGAAGTAAGTGAAAAACCAAACAATCTTGACTTAGAAGAAGAGATTGTTACACTTTTTCTAATTTCAAACTTGGCTTTTTTACTTAAAGGACATTCTGATTCACTGTCGGGAACATCCGATTTGGGGTTAAACTAGGCAGCTGTAGGATTTTTATAGCTCCTGGGCTTCAAATAATGTTCCATATGATGGGAGTTATTCTAAACAATGTTTCAATAATCAACCGCTATAACCTTATGGATGTTCAGCCTCTGAATATTTTATATGAATATTTTCTCTTAATTACTCATATTTATACTATTTTGCTATGAATGACATTTGTATTTTATTATATATACATTAAATAGTTTGTTTACAACTTTATCTGAATGTTCATTTTTTGTTTGAATTACTTGTTCTCTACTGTAATGCATTTCATTTAGATTGTAAGCTCTGGTTTAAAAAAACACACACACACACAATCTATTTAGAGTATGACTAAAGTGGCATTTCAAACTAGTGAGGAAAGACTGACCAATTTTATAAATGATGTTGGGAAATTTTGCAAACCATCTGGAAAAAATAAAGTTAGATTTTTATCTCACGCAATATATAGAAATAAATTCCAGATGCATTAAAGAATCTAAATGTAAAACTGAAAACTATAAAATATTAGAAGAAAACATGGAATGTGTCTTTAGCATTGCGGAATGGGAAATATCTTTCATAGAAAGATGTGAATCTTAGAAGCTCTGAAAGCAAAGACTGACAGCTTTTTCTATGTAAAGCTGCAAAATTTCTGAATAGCCAAAGGTATCATGAACACACCACTATTTTTTTCCTTTCAGTGCACTCATACAAGAGAAATAAGAGGTACAGAAATTAGAAAGGATGAGCCAATTTTATCACTTCTTTGTTGAAGATTGAGTCTTGAATAACCAAGAAAAGCACATAAAAACCAAAGGAACTATCTATCCTATATAATAAAAGGCTAATGTGCAAATAAACCAAACAGCAGAACGACCAGTCACTATGATGCATGCTGACCACTGGGGGGCAGATGCTCAATGCAGGAGCTGCCCCCTGGTGGTCACTGTGCTCCCACAGGTGAGCACCACTCAGCCAGAAGCTGGGCTCATGACTGGTGAGCACAGCAGCAGTGGCGGGAGCCTCTCCTGCCTCACGGCAGCACTAAGGATGTCCCACTGCTGGGATGTCCCACTGTTGTTTAAGCAGAGAGTGGGTCTAAGCTGTCAGTCAGACATCCCTCGAGGGCTCTCAGACTGTGAAAGGGTATAGGCCAGGCTAAGGGGACCTCCCCTCCACCCCTGAGTACATGAATTTTATGCATGGGCCTCTAGTATGTATGTATGTGTGTG